TGAGATCATGACCTGAGCCGAAGTTGGATGCTCAACCAACTGAGACACTAAGGTGCCCTACCATGTCGCTTCTAAAGGCTATGCCTGCTTTCCATGGACCTCATATTTTAACTTCCATTCTCTAACACATCAAATTCTGTTAACCAATTTAATTCTTTTAATTCTTTCTTTTTAATGAAACCAGTCTTATTGGGTGATAACATTTTAAGGAATTATTCACTTATTCCTTTGGGTGAGTTAAAAGAGAGAAACAGCAGACAGACAGACTTTGATAGGAAAATAGAGAGCTTGAGAACACTGAATGCCCAGCCTGAGAGTTAGATACCCTACTACTATTCCCACAAGAGTCAAGAAGAAGAACAAATTAGGGACCATGAGAGGTCACAAAGCCAGGTATATCTCTCTCCCATATTTTCCATGCCTATTTTCCCACCAATAGTAATGAAATGAAAGGTTACAAAGCTCAAGGTGTAGTGGGCAAAAGATTCACTCCTGTAAAATTGCACAACCAAGGAGGTGTGAACTAATGGACACATGGTTTTAGGCCATAAAAGGGAGCCACGCTTCCTTAGAATATTACAGGGCTGGGAAAGTATTTTAGATAAACCACCTCAAATGCTATTTTTGGGTTTTCTTGGCCTAGGGCTAACCTATGAAGTCCTTTTATTTATTTTTTTAAGTTTATTTATTTATTTTGAGACAGAAAGAGAGAGAGAGAGAGCACATGCAAGCTGGGGAGGGCCAGAGAGAGATAGAGAGAGAATCCCAGCAGGCTTAGTGCTGTCAGTGCAGAGCCCAATGTAGAGCTCAATCCCATGAACTGTGAGATCATGAGTTGGGCCAAAACTAAGAGTCAGACTTAACCAAATGAGCCACACAGGTTCAACTTTAAGTCTATGTGTTTATTTTGAGAGAGAGAGGAAAGAGCTCTTTTTAAAAGAGAGTCTTTGATTCTTACTTTGATGATCAGCCACATAGGAGAAGGCATCATTCAGCCAATCAGAGACCACATTCATGATCATGGCATTGAAAATATTAAGGTCAGGGACAATTAAAACAAAACATGGCTTCTGCCATACTTCGTACCTACAATTCTATGTCATTAATTAGCCAACATAAAATATGCAGAAGGGTTTAGGTCCCTTCCTGGGCCACCTTCAGAAGAGACATAGGAAACATACAAGGTTCTCAACTACACTTGATGCTCATCCAACGATAATGAACTCCAAGTTCTCACTGCCACACAACTTGGATGAACTCAAATCCTTTTTTTTTAATTTTCAAAAAAAGTTTATTTACGTATTTATTTTTAGGGAGATAGAGAGTGAGAGAAAGCAAGCAGGGGAGGGGTAGAGGGAAGGAAAGAGAGAGAATCCCATGCAGGCTCTGCACCGCCAGCACAGAGCCCGGTGCAGGGCTCGAACTCACAAACCGTGAGATCATGACCTGAGTCAAAATCAAGAGTCAGATGTTTAACTGACTGAACTACTCAGGAACCCCAAATGACCCCTACTATTACAAATAATGTTCATATACTGCTTACTTATCCTCTTATGTTTGCTCTAATTTAGTCGGTATCTTTGAGCAGGACATAGCATAGGTCTCCATGATTTACAAGGTTTCACTACTGCGTCAGAAACTTAGCAGTCTTTCCTGAGGATTCTGGATATCCTTTAACCTAGAGCTTAGTGCCATTAAGGGGTATGTAAAATTTTCCTCTACAAATCAAGTTGCATCCATCTCACCATAAATCTATAGATTACATCTCCTCAGTCAATAAATTCTTCTAGTCTTTCATCTGCACTGCCCTTGTCCTGACTCTAACTAGAATCAAATCATAGCAGAAGCTCAGCATTAGAACAAAAACCTTGCAGTCTCCTGTTAGTGCTTAACTTGAATCACACATTGGTGTTCATGTCTGCAATAGACATCATGCTTCCCCTGGGTGCTTCTGTTCTGAAAGATACACAACTGCTAACTCCACAGCGGCTGGGGCCAGCCAACCACTTACTTTCATTTGCTGAATTCCATATTAATCAGATAGCATCATTCAGTAAACATTAACTGCCATATGTAGATCACTGTAATGTACTGTGGGAAGCCACAAAAGGAACAGAAAACATAAATCTATTCTTCACAGAGCATATAGTCCAACAAGGGGAAAAGGTATGTGCATTAATTAAACATCTACCCTATCCCAAGATGGTGCCAGCCACTTTACTTACATTACCCCAAATTAATAAATCTTTTAAACTATTTTATAAGTTACTATTCTCATTTTATGCATGTGAAAACTAAGATTAATGATACTTTATCACTGCTCCCAAAGCACATTATTAATTAAATGGATATGTATGAAATTCAGCCAAGGAATTTTGAGTCATTACCTCTTCATAAGAAAGAATTTAAATCAGCTCTTGTGTATGATGTGTTCTAGCCCCACCTCATATAATGAATCTGCAGGGCCTATGGGTCATTTCCTTAAAATGGAGGTATGCAGATTGGATAGTGATATTTTAGGTACTAAGTAGCAAGGAGTTTTAATAATCACTTCCTGACCACAGAGTCAATTCACCTTTAAGGAAACTGGTATTTGCAAGGTTTTTTTTTTTTTTTCTTTTATGAACCCAAAGTTTAGTATATAGTCTACTGGCATAGTATATACTCTACTGAATTAGAAAAGAGTGAATTGTGGGTTGGGAAGAGAAAAGGGAAGAAGCACAGATGGCAGAATATGGGTCAAAGTTTTTTAAATGAAGCCATGGAAAAATGAAAGGAGACTCAGGAGGTAAATTCAGGTCTGAGGATTGTACATCCTCATGGGTTAGTGATCCAAAAATGGAGCTGTCCATGGTCAACACCCTGTCTCCCCACTGACTCCACTGGGACAGGCCTGAAGCAGTAGCCTGCTGGTTGGCCAAGGATGACAGAAACTTATTCTATCTCAAGCATCCCATTTGCTCCTCCTCTCTGGGAACCTTTTCCATGGGGTAACAACCTTGATCCAAAGAACCTGAGCACACTGAATCCTTGATTCCAACTCTTTAGAAATCAACCACCATTCCTGCAAGAGTAGCATTTTAGTCTATCAATATTACTTTCCACCCTTCTCTGAATTCAGAAAATATGAAAAAGTAATGATAGGGTGATCATGTGCATAAGAGCTCTCAACACTTAAAAGGAGAAGTAGGCACAGCCCCCTCTCCTAACACACATAGATATGGGGAAAAAAGGGAAAAGAAAAAAAAAAAAACTATTAGCATACATATTTTCTGTAACAAAGCAAAATGATTTTATAGACTTCTCATTAAGAGTGGATCTATCTAGCAGGCAAGGATGGAAAATGGAAATTTTCCCACGTTGTTATACAAAGATCTAAAACATGCAGTATTCTCCTGCTTTTGCTGTGTTATCTAAATTGATTTGTTTCAGAGCATAAAAGACTGTCTTTGTAAAGACAGTCATGGCTTCTCAGTTTCAAAATGTCTTTTCCTATGGGGATTTTAGAACTTTAGGTGTATGACTGAGGGTAATACCATATGGGGGGGTGGCTGGTGAAGGAATCCCTGAAGTCCTATCATATAAGCAGTTACCTAATATGACTCTGTATTGGGAAACCTCCATCAAACTGTTTTTTAAAACTTCTGTACGGGGAGCCTGGGTGGTTCAGTTAGTTAGACGTTTGACTTTAGCTCAGGTCATGATCTGACAGTCTGTGAGTTCGAGCCCCTTATCGGGCTCTGTGCTGACAG